GTTCCAGCTTAAATTATGATCGCTACCATCTCGATTCGATTCTCCATTTGCTTCATTATGTTTTTCATTGAAACAAACTAAGTCCATTAAGGTAAAACCATCGTGAGAAGTGATAAAGTTGATCGATTGATCTTGATGATCGTACAAGTTAGTTGATCCATTAAAGCTTTCTTCAAACGCTTCTGATAATCCGCGATCTCCTTTTATAAATGAACGTATATGATCGCGAAATTGCCCATTCCATTCCGACCAAGCCCCCCATTTTTTGAATTGGCCTAATTGATATAACCCTGCAGCATCCCATGCTTCAGCGATAAGTTTGCACGTGGATAATTCTTTAGATTCACGAATTTTTTTCAGAACTAAAGGGTCTTCCAAAACCGAACCATCTTCTCCTCTTGTCAAGATTGAGGCTAGGTCAAATCGAAAACCATCCACTTGGCACTCGTTAGAAAAATATTCTAAAGAGTCTAAAATCAGCTGAGCAGTTTCTGGATGATTGCATGAAATAGTGTTGCCACAACCAGTATAATTCGCATAGGCGCCGTAGGGTTCTACGATATAGTAGGCTGAATTATCTGCGGGCATGAGTCCTGGTGAGTGGTTGTAGACGACATCTAAAATGACTTCTATTCTTCGCTTATGGCACTCTTTTACAAGATTTTTAAAGTCGTTAAGTGTCCCGTAGGTAGGGGTTAACGTGAAAAAACTTCTGGAATTATATCCCCAGTAATTTTTTAGGGTTTCTTGAGTTTCTGGATGAGTATTTTTAACTTCTTCCATATCAAAATAGAAAATAGGCTGTAATTCTATTGCGTTGATTCCGAGTTCAATCAAGTGATCTATATGATAAATCAATCCTTTAAATGTCCCGCAGTCCTGTTTGGCTAGTGAACTTTTCATAGTCAAACCTCTTAAGTGAGCCTCATAGATAATAAGCGAATTTTTTGGATGAAGTGGCTTAGAGATTTGTTCCCAATCGAAACTATCGGGTTCTTTAAAAAGGGCTCTCTTTGTATAGGCGTTCAGTTCTTTTGCATAAGGATCTAAAAAAAGGGTCTTAGGGGAAAATCGATGTCCATTTTGAATTTCGTAGGGGCCTTCGCATCGCATAAGGTATTCCGAGTTTTCTGGGATATTTTTCAAAGAAATAGTCCAGTAAGGATGATGGTGTTCAAGAGGAAATTCTTGCTCAACTTTTTCGTTGTAAATTCGAACAAAGACAGCATTAGCATTCTCAGAGAAAAATTTCAGGTGAAATTCCTCATCTAAATAACTTAATCCCATTTTCAGATCTGTGTAGAAGCTCTGGTTTTTGACGATTTTATCCATAACACTTCTATGTAACGGATCGAGAATACATCGACAACTTTTTTTCTGATGAACATCTCCACTCATAAATAAAATGTTACCTTGATATTTTTCAGGCGATTTGTAAATCTTATATGAAGAATTTGCATANT